TTAGCCCATTGAGACCTGTCTAATTGTTCTCCCATCTGCTTTGTTCTCCATTCCCCTCTCCCTACTCATATATTGCCCTCTCCCTATCACCCAAACTATCCTGTGTCTAATCCCTGCCCTGTGCTCCACCTTCCCCTCCCTCCCCTCACCTAACCCCAACATCCCAATAATCAGCAAAGAATCCCCCCATGCCCCTTTAGTATGGGTTCTTTCCCTACGTCTTTTACAGTCCATGGTGGATTCTTATATGTGTTGTGAAGTGTGAGAGTCTACGAAAGTATTTCTCACAATCCTTTCATTTATAACATCTTCTCCACTGTGGATGCTTCTATGTGTCCTGAGGTTTGACATTTGGCGAAAGACTTTCCCACATTCCTTACATTCATAGGGCCTCTCTCCACTGTGGATTCTTCTATGTCTTGTGAGGTGTGACCGTCGAGTAAAGGATTTCCCACACTCCTTACATTCATAGGGCTTCTCTCCACTGTGGATTCTTCTATGTGTTGTGAGGTGTGACCGTCGAGTAAAGGATTTCCCACACTCCTTACATTCATAGGGCCTCTCTCCACTATGAATTTGTATATGTTCAGTGAGGGCAATGGATGAAATAAAGGCTTTTCCACATTCTTTACACATATAGGGCCTCTCTCCACTGTGGATTTTTCTATGTCTTGTGAGGTGTGAGGGTAGGAGAAATTCTTTCCCACATTCCTTACATTCATAGGCCCTCTCTCCACTATGGATTATTATATGTGTCTTGAGGTTTGACCGTCCAGTAAAGGCTTTCCCACACTCCTTACATTCATAGGGCCTCTCTCCACTGTGAATTCTCCTATGTTTAATGAGGGCTGTGGAAGAAATAAAAGCTTTTCCACATTCTTTAAACTCATAGGACCTCTCTCCACTGTGGATTCGTCTATGTCTTGTGAGGTTTGACAGTTGAGTAAAGAATTTCCCACGCTCCTTACATTCATAGGGCCTCTCTCCACTGTGGATTCTTCTATGTGTTGTTAGGCTTGACATTTGGCGAAAGACTTTCCCACATTCCTTACATTCATAGGGCCTCTCTCCAGTGTGGATTCTTCTATGTGGTCTGAGGCTTGACGTTTGGCGAAAGACTTTCCCACACTCCTTACATTCATAGGGCCTCTCTCCAGTGTGCATTCTTCTATGTTTTGTGAGGTGTGACGGTACGAGAAATCCTTTCCCACATTCCTTACATTCATAGGCCCTCTCTCCACTGTGGTTTCTTGTATGTGTCCTGAAGTTTGAACTTCGAGAAAAGGTTTTCCCACACTCCTTACATTCATAGGGCCTCTCTCCACTATGAATTCGCATATGTTCAGTGAGGGGTGTGGAAGAAATAAAGGCTTTTCCACATTCTTTACACTCATAGGGCCTCTCTCCACTGTGGATTCTTCTATGTGTTGTGAGGCTTGACCGTCGAGTAAAGGACTTCCCACACTCCTTACATTCATAGGCCCTCTCTCTACTGTGGATTCTTCTATGTGTTGTGAGGCTTGACCTTTGAGTAAAGGATTTCCCACATTCCTTACATTCATAGGACCTCTCTCCACTGTGGATTCTTGTATGTTTTGTGAGGTTTGACTGTCGAGTAAAGGACTTCCCACACTCCTTACATTCATAGGGCCTCTTTCCACTATGAATTCGCATATGTGCTGTGGAAGAAATAAAGGCTTTTACACATTCTTTACACATATAGAGTTTCTCTCCACTGTGGATTCTTCTATGTTAGGGGAGGTTTGAGTCATAGATATAGGTATTCCCACATTCCTTACATGCATAGGGCCTCGCTCCACTGTGGGTCCGCATGTGTCTACTACACTTTGAGGACACTCTGAAGGCTTTCACACATTGCTTACATTCATAAGGCTTCTCTACGGTGTGTATTCTTCTATGTGCAGTCAGGCCTGATGAAGCCCTAAAAGTGTTCCCACACTCCTTACATCCATAAGGCCTCTTTGCACCGTAGACTATTTTATGTCTTGTGACCATAGGCACTGCTAAAGGCTTTCCCACATTGATTACATTCATAGAGCCTGTCTCTACTGTGAGTTTGCAAATGTGCATTGTGCTGTGAGGAATCCCGAAAGGCTTTCCCACACTCTTTACATTCAAAAGGCCTCTGTCTGCTGTGAGTTCCTGTATGTCCAGGGAGGATTGACGCCTCATCAGAGACTTTCACACACTCCGTATATTCATAGGGCCTCATGGATTCTTCTGTGTGCAGTCAGGTCTGAGGAATCTCTAAAAGTTTTCCCACACTCGGTACATTCATAAGACATCTCTCCACAGTGACTACTTACTTGTTGAGTGAGGGAGAAAGCCTTAAGAACTGCTTTCTTGCATTCAGAAGGCTTCTCTCTCTTATGAGAGATATTGGTTAAAATGAGAGATGAAGGATTAGTATGCATTCTAAAGCATTCTTTACATTTGGATTGATGACCTTCCAAAGGTGTCCTAACTGGTGAGAAACTACAGAAAATTTCCATCCACTTGCTGAATTCATACCCTTCAATACTGGTGATTGCTGAGACAGGATTCTTGAGGGTCAACATACAAAGGAAGCCTCTCCCACATATCTTACATTTACGGGTATTTTTCCCATTATGAGTGGTCACTAGAATGGTCAGGTGAGAAGGACACCTGCAGTCTTCTCCACAGTCCAGACACTGACAGGTCCTGCTTCCAGTGTGAGCTCTACTACGATTGTTCTCTAGAGAATCATCCAGAAAGGCTTTTCCATACTCACAACATTCAAAAGGATATACTTCTGTGGGATCTATTTGCTGCACAGAAAGACCAGGCATCAGGCTGGAGGTTTCCCCACAGTGGTTGCGTTCAGAACGTTCACCCAGGTTCACAATTACACCAGTTCTGTTAAAATACAGGTAGAGCAAATGTAAAATCGTGGTGTCCTCTGCAAATTACTTCACTGTCAACAAGGAGATAAATATCTTGTTAGAAACAAATGTTGTCGCATGATAGAATTACCAAACACAGTGAACATGTATGTCTTCTCCCTGAATTGTCTCAAGAGTCATCTAGGACAATGACTACCATTTCCATCAATGTGTAAAACTTCCTCATCATTATGTCCAAGTGAAATATGCTTTACACATTTCGCTGACTTATACTTACAAAAACGTTCTTACGTGAATTTTCACGGAACCTATCGTTTTACAGCCAGGATTATACACATACACATATATACATGGATCCTGATGAAGGATTAACACTAGGCAGCAAGCTAGATTTGAACCACAAAGTGGAACGGCTTCATGGCATGTAACAACAGTTACTCCTTGCAAAGTTAACAAAGGTTTGTTAAATGTCAGAAATCACTCAGAAAACACAACACATATATATCAGTCGGCTTCAGGGATTCAAACCGCTTTGGGACGACTCAGCAATTTCCAACATAAATGAGAGAAGTGTCCAGATTGCATAGCAATCAAAACTGTTGTTTTAATAGAATTTGATTTGGTGAATAAACAATCACTGGTACTGCATTCAAGGATGGAGAGAAAACCACCAATATGACATGTCGCTCTACACACTCCTGCAACACCTAACACCTGCATGGATACCAAGAGTCTTACATCACACACCGGATATGTTGTAGGACTGTGGAGATCAACAAACATTTAGAGCTGCGCAGCCTGCCACCATATCTGAATGGCACACTACTGACAGTTTCTTAATTGACTCACAATTTAAAAGGAAAGAGATTTGACTGTTAAGAAATGCATATGCAACCTTCGTTTGTCCAGCAATTACTCAATCAAAATTGTTCACAGAATGATGCAATTGAAAGACGATGGAGTTCTCCATGAACTATTTGGAGCCCCCACATTTCAGTGTATTTTGATGTCATGACACCTCCTGAGATTTTGTGAAGCACTAATGTCTGTTGTTTGCATCACACTCACCTCAAATGTCTCCCCTGGTTGTCAAGGTGATCCTTCCAGCCATGTGATTTCTTGACTGCACCTGAGATGCATAATAACCAGGTGTTACTCTTCAAACACTGTATGATTAAATGCTCACTGGGTAACTTTTCTCCATCATTAATGTTTCCAGCCACTGATCGAAACATTCAAGTTAAAGTCCATAATCAGAATCAAATGGGAATGATCAAAGGAAACAGAGGTCCTAAACCCAAGTTTGCTATTCCAGCACTTTGACAAGTCTTAAAATGAAACGTACTAGAAGATACTTCTATCAAGATGGGGAGGGACAGTACCATACACAGCTATCATTAGGAGAGCTAAGTAGAAAGGAATTAGACATACCACAAATGTAACGTTACAAAGGCAAAGGGTCCCTGAGTCCACAGGTGCAAAAGGACAACTAAAATCAACAGGATAAGTTCAGGTGTCTGAGAAATTGGGTCTACAAGCCAAAATAAACTTTTTGAAGCTGACTGATTTCCTTCATTCATGGGCTAAAATTACATTTCCTCGGGCTTCCTGACACATGGGCCTGAGTGACTCTTATTTCCAGTCTCCTCAGACTTTTCCTTAGCTTCTCTGAGAAAACAAAAGGGTAGAGCTAACACGGAGCTCAGGAGTCCCAATGTGGTGCTGTAGGAAAAATCCCCCAGTCCCCTCTAGGAAAATGTACACAAATTCCCTCAGTGTTGAAACCAAGGTGATGACAGTTCACAACAACATGGAGCTCATGGAGAAATGTACATCGCAAGGAAGACCTTGATGACCAATGAAAGATTCCTTGTCACTGAGATAGTACTCTGTTCTCCAGAAGCTCTGAAGATTGAGAGATGTGAGTTCATTTGCATCAAAATCATGACATCAAACTTGTCACAAACCCAATAAAACTCTCAGAAAGGAACCCACAGGACAAGTCTCTCAGTGCATGAAAGTGTCCCCTAAAGTCAATGCTATGCTGATGGCACTTAAAGAAGCCCAAGGTTTTTTTATTCACAAGAGAAATGAAAGCTGAGTTCAGTGCTCAGAGCTTTGTATTAGGGGAATTCTGGATGCATGAGCTCTATACAGAAGGG